ATGGAGACACATTGAGTTTTCTATAGAAGGTTATCAGCAGAACTGATGTAATAAAAATATATCTGGACCTCTTTATTAACAATTAAGAAAGTTTAAAAGAGTTATATGTGAAAAGACAAAATCTCTCTATTGCTTAAAGATGGTGTATCTCAAATTGGCGGGTTTAAAAATCTCAGATGCATTACTTCGTGAAATTTTGTGCTCATGCCCGAATATAAACTTTCTTATTCTTGATTGAAGTTATGGTTTTAGTAATATATCAATTATAGAAATTGCAAAATATTGTCTGAAGCTACTACATCTGAGTCTTGATGCGTGTAAAGCTATTACTGATAGATGCGTTAGTGAAATAACACAATCTTGTCCAAATTTAAAATACATAAGTCTCGCTTCTTTGTATAGAGATAGTAACATTTCCAGTGTATCTGTGAAATAGTACGATTTTGTTCCAATCTAGTATATTTAAACCTCAATGGACAACCTTCTATTAATGATAAATCAATTTGTGCAATTGCATGCTCATGTGTAAATCTTCAACACCTGGATTTGTCGTTCAATGAAATAATTATGGATGAAGCTATATGTGCGATTGCAACTGGCTGTCCAGATATACGAAATTATTTTCTCGAAGGCTGTGAACGGATAACTGATAAATCAATCAAAAAAATTGCACAGTTAAATTGAAACCTGCAAAAGCTTATTCTCACTTCTTGTTACAAAATTACAGATTATGCTGTATGTAATGTAATTCATTCATGTTCAAACATTCAGAATCTTAGTTTTCAATATATTTATATCACTGATAAATCGATATATGAAATTGCACATCACTGTTCAAATTTATTAGTTCTCAATGCAAAGAAATGTCCATTTATTTCTGATGAATCAATCTACTATCTATTAAGCAAAAAACCAGCACTAGAGCTAATATTAGATTGGGTTCCGTGATCCATATAGATTATGATAAAATCACGTTTATATGGTTAGTTTGATAATAGAATATTTTTTCAGTTGTAATTTTATTCTATTAATATTAATACATCCTATCTGTCACTTATATTATTAAGAAGCTGATCGATCCTGCCAATTTGAAGTTAGAGTGATGATTTTAATATCTTATTCACTACTATTCTCCAATGAAATAGCTATCAGTATCCAGCCTGTGGATTTTATATTAAAAATATATTTTAGATATTAAAAGTAACAATCTATTATAATGAAAAAATTATCTTTAAGTGATGCTCAAATAACTGCTAAAAAATGTAATGGAAAATGTCTTTCCACTTAGTATATCAATGCCAAAAGTCTCTTAGAATAGAAATGCAAAAAAGGACACACTTGGTCAGCATCTCTTAATCGTATAAAAGATCATGATAAATGGTGTCCATATTGTGTGGATAATATTCATCTTATCTTGAAAGAGGTTATTATAATTGCTGAAGATCATGATGGAAAATGTCTTTCCAATCAATATATTAATATTATAACTCCATTATTATGGCAGTGCAATAAATCACATATATGGTATGCATCCCTTGGTAATATAAAAAATCGTAATATATGGTGTCCACAATGTGCAAAATGTGGGTTTAAGTTAAATCTTGGTGAATTACAAAAAACTGCTTATTTGCGTGTCTTTCTAAAAATTATACCAAATCTAAAAATTGGAAATGTGATAAAGAGCATACTTGGTATACATCTTTTAATAGTATAAAAAATCATAATTCATGGTGTCCATTTTGTTCAAAATTCAAACGGGAGAATTTATGTCGTGAGATTGTGACAAAATATCTTGGACCTCCGTCAGAAAATCGTTGGTCAGACTTTTTAAAAACGTTTGAATCCCCTCAAGGTCTACAACTTGATATATTTTACCCAGAATATGGTTTTGCAATTGAAGTACAAGGAGAACAACACGAAAAATATATCAAATTCTTTCACAAAGGAGATCCCAATAATTTTATTAGACAGCAAGAGCAGGATCAACTCAAGAAAGAATTATGTGAAGAAAATTGGATTGTTTTAAGATACGTTTGGTATTACGAAGACCCATATATAGTCATTCCAGAACATCTTCGAGAATTGGGTCTTATTGAGTAAACTTAAAACTTTAAATGCTTTTGTGATTTATCAGTTCCATTTTCGAAGTTAGATGACTAAGACACACACGAAATTAGCAAGAAATTTTATTTTTTCAATTTACTAAGACCAAACGTAAGATTATTACGGAAAATTTCAACATAATTATCTAGTCTTCAGTTTCAATGGGGATGTCCAAGTATTGTCATAATCTAAGTAATTATCAGTGATTTTTTTTAATAATGATTGATATCGTTTATGGAGGTCTTGAATTAATGACTACAAAAGAATAAGGATCAGCTATAATAAGAGTAAATAAGAATGCTCGAGTATAAATATTATAATTACCCGCAATGTTAACATTCTTACAGCCGACTTCGTTAGACTCGGTAAAGATGTAACTTGTTCCGGAATGTCAAATTCCATTATTGAAAAAACAACAGGGCGCATTTTAACTGGCCAATTAGCAAGGTATACGTCAGCCGTTGTTCCTGTAAAATTTATAAAATAAAGTTTATTAAAGATCTTGCATTAACAATCAGACATAGGTTTACTTACCACAGAATTGAATGCAAAGGATGGGCAAATCTGACACTTCGTATACAATTTTCTCTGGTAATGAGGATACTATAAGCTTGAACATTATAGCTATTGCTTCGTGCAATTTTGACAAGTCTTTATATCTTTTTGACAATATTGATGTGGTTGCTGTTTCCACATAAATAAATTCGATTTTTCTATTAAATGACAAGACTCCGTCATATTTTGGCGCTTTTGATGATTTAATTCCAAGTAATTTTTGTGCTTTGCTTGCGACTTCACCGCTATTTATACAAGAACAAAATTAGTTAAATACAACATAAGAAACACAACAGTTTTTATTTTGAACATACCGCCGGAGAATACAATTGCTGAGTGAAGCTAAGCAATCGTCGAAGAATGGCGTAACAATGTTGCTGTTGTACCATCCTTCTTGTAATTCGGAACTATCTAGATTTAATATACCCTTGTCCTGGAAAAGAAAAAAACTGAATACAAGATAAATAAACGTTTTTACAAAAATATAAAAAACACATTGTATCTAATACTTACAATTTCTCAAACAAATGACGCAAATATACTGTATCTCTATTTGGATTTCGTAATTAATGGTGATACTTGAAAGAGCTTTTCCAAGTTCCGATAATGATGTCTAAATATATTAACTATAAGCAATAATATCAAGCTATTTTTTGTGTTTCAGTTAATACATACTACATTTAAACACTTCAAAGTTTCCAAAGCATCTTCTGCAACGGCTCTTTGTGGCTTATATTTCTTCATTTCTGCTTCAAAATAAAACTTTACAGGTTGTCCCAAGACGTCCATGATTCTACTATCATTCAGGTCGACAATACCATAACTTAATGATGATTTCACCTTTGCTTTCTTTTCTTTCTCACATAAGCCTATTAATTTTTCTTCGATATCTATTTCGCAAATAATCGCATCAAACTGCCAGGGAGACCAAGCTATATCCATATATTCATTATTAGTTATAAATCGTGGTTGTTTATAATTGTGAGATGAAGGAGGAGGAGGAGTCGTAGGAATTGTAGATGTTGGTGAGTCCCCACTTCATTACTTTCTGGATCGTTCAAAATATATGTTGGTGAATCCCCCACTTCATTACTTTCTGGATCGTTCAAAATATTTGAGATATTCAACATGCTTGCAGATGTGTTGGTGAAGAATCAGGTCAAGCTTTAGTTTGGATCACAATATGTTCCGATTTTTCTGGAAGACATAACATTACTGTATTGAATACAACAACAATATGAATACCATACTTCATCTTCCTTGATGTGTTCGGTTACTAAAAACGGATTATTCCCGACATCGATTATTTCTTGGTACGTCTGTGTCTTACTTTCGTCACCTTCGATGTTCCACTTTGTCTAAATAAAAACATTTTTGAAGCTAAATACAGAAAATAGCCAGTTCCAAGATTGATAGCAGTTACTGACCCTTGTTGACCGTTTCGGAAAGCTTGTTTCACGGCTGTCCAAAAGTCTTTTGGTAACTCTGGTAGTGGTCGATCTTGCATATGTCTTCATCTGCTGGGTCACCTCATCAGCCAAAGTTAGATCATAGTCGGTCTATTCATAATAATAAACCCGAAATTTAATGGTTTAATCGAGATATCAGCTAATATGGCGGTTCACAAACCTCTATGAGTTTTTTATCGATCGACATCCAGAAGTTTTTCTACGTTGCGGAAGACTTCTGATTCTTTAGAAAAAAAAATGGACATCAGTATAAAATTAAATAACATTGCTTAAACTACTCTACAACCCATTAAAAAACAAAGGTGGACCATAACATGACACATAGTCTGACAACCAGTTGGTACGTAAGCATCCAGTTGCGTTATGGCAATAACATATGTCTATTCAAGGACGACCAAGGGAAGGCGTACTTCACTATCACCAGCCAGTGCGTAAGTGGCTAGCTACTTGGTGGTTTGTCAATACATCACGTAATTGTCTCGGGACAGAAATGTATTCTAGTCCTTGAACCCACTCATCTTAAAGTCAATAAATAACTTAACTTCAAAATTAGAGAGATATTTTATAGCTTGAGCATGTTCCTTGGTTAATAGAGTCAGAACAGCCTTATACAACATATGCTCTTTTCTTCTATCGTAAGTAAAATCATCGCCTTCCGCTCTGTATTTAAGGAACTTGATTAATGACCAGTCTGTATTATTCTTGAAAAAGTTTTCTAACACTTGTTGTTGCGATTCAAGAGACATAGTAGTACTAATAAAATGACACGAGAAGAAAAATGTATTGATCTGATATATCAATCGATCATGTGCCAATGAATCTAGCTTCCTACTGGTCGATATTGATATCTTTATTATTTTTTTTTTTTCGAGAAGCAAGCTTTATTACTAAGCTATTTTTTAAGTAAATGTAGGAGACCGGCTAAGTAAAAGTGATAGAGAAGCAGGATGTTTCAAGGGAGGAATAAAGCATAAATGCCTACCGGCCCCTAGACCCCTCGCAATGCGAGAATGGCAGTTCCTTTCCCGCTACTCATTATAACTATTTTTACTATCTATCCAGACATCTATTTTATTTAACGTTTTACCCCATTATTATGATAAAAACTTTTTACGGTTTCCTTAATTTTTTCCATCCTAAGACCAAGAATCTCAACAGATACTATATTACACATATCATCAAACGAAATAATTTTGAATTGATTTCGGATTGTTGAGGTGATACCGGAAAATGATAGTTGGCTCGAACAACTGGAAGAATCAGAAGAGTCGGATGTAGGTACGGTTTGTTCAGCAAGTTGTTCGAAGCTTAATGAGGCCATGGAACCCGTCTCAGTTATTTGATCCAACTGATCACGAAGAGATTCATAATTGGCCTTGATTTAATTAATAGTTTCGTTCATGGTATTAAACATTACCACGATTCGGCAACAAATGTGGCATCTCGTGATGTAAAATCTGTGGTTAGTCTTTCCACACGTGTATTGAGTTGCTGTCTAATGATATACATGGTGAAACCTTTGGCAACGAAAATCAGATGGACAGGAATTTTCTCAGCAAACATCATTAGCCACACAAAGACCAAAAATGGGACAATTTCTGAATATTGTTTAGAGACATCTATAACCGGACGGAAAAAATGGTTGTTAGCATAAGTACACGAGTGTGGGGATAGATAACCTAGCATACAAACAATATCTACCTTAATTTGCGTGAAACAGGTAATATAAGTGGGTTTTATTTTCGTGCTTTATTTTTGTATCTCTATTAGTTATTAAGATTATTGCTATGAAGCGAGTAAAAAGGACAGATCAATATTTTTCGCCCTTTTATATAGCAGTCATTACCTACACCCCCACTTTAAGGTATATACAAAATCCACAGATCAGGTGGAAGCTGGCTCACGTCAAAATTTCTAAGCTCTGCCGGAAGTTGCCAGAACGATTTTTTAGTTAGATAGTAAACGTAATCATATAATAAAGGTATTATTAGCATTTCTTTGATTATTAATAGCATCTATTCTTAAGTTTCGACGTTACATTGCGTAATTGAAGAAAATCATTTCACAGACTAAGAATGAATGGATCGCTTAGGGGATTATCGCATTGACCCACGAATGATTATGAAGTTTAGCGGAGCTAGTACAAGGTGCTAAAAATAAGGTTGGTATTTTTATGAGCATTATGTCCGAAATGTTTATTCTTAGTGAAGTTCATCATCAACAAAAAAATATATTTAAAATTAAAACGTATTTCTAGTCTTTATGTAATAAAAATTAGGTTGCACGAATAATATGTGCTGGAATCATTATTAATATGCGCGGATTGAATAACGATGTTCCGATTTTGTATAAGTTTCACCGGTGTTTAAATCGTAATAATAACCTTCATCATCATCAGAGAAACCGCAGAACCCATCATCATCTTCCTCTTCGTCGTTATCGGAGAATTCGTCATCATTTTCATTATCGACATTATCAACATCAGAGGAATCCAAATTAAAATCTAAGGAATTATCGGGTACACTTACCTCTTCCTTGGGTAAAGATTCCTTTTTCTCACTCACCTCATATTTCGAATTGCAGGAGGCAGACACAGAATGACTAGCCTCTTTCTCCTCGAAAGCTTCCATGACCATTTTATCAAAATCGTCCTCAGCTTTGGGAATTGACTGGACCGAATTCTGAGGAATCATCTGAAGAATTAGAGATGTGTGTTAAAGGAATAGGTGCGGTTGATATGTTTACTTCAGCTGAAACTGCTTCCGATGCATTAGTCTGATCATCCGAAACCTCCTCTTCGGAATCTATGACAGAGTCATCCTGTTCATCCGGTAATTCAGTGTTGAGATTCTTGGAGAAGTAATCAATAATAGTTTGAATTTTACTATCGGATAATTCTGCAATAGAATTCGCGCTATATGTTTTTATATACTTGAATTATCAATTCCTATTTTTTCGATAAACTCATAAATCTTCCTGGCTCTACTGATGCGTTGATATAAAGTATTTCGTTTGGTACCAGGATTGTGTGCAAGAATAAAATTGTAAATCTGTCCTTTGGCCTTTTTCATACTTTCATCCACACTTTTATCCAGTCCTATAATAAAATTACACCAGCATAAAATTTCTGCCTGATTGGCTTTTATCGTTTTATCTTCTGCATTACATGCATCTTCGTATAAGCGGGCTGTATTATTCAATGCATCTGAATTTTCCTCATGGCAATGTTCGTCGTTAAATTCATGAAGTCGTCTAACGCACTAGTGAGTGGCGATCACCACTTCGGAAGAACTTGCTGAGCCACATGCTGTGCGACATATTAATTTCAGATATAAATCGAAAATTATATATGCTAACCTTTAGTCTATTTTTTTTCCCGAACAAATGTGAGAGAATGTGAAAGAGCGCCTAGTTACAACACAGGACCTAAGCTGATACCCGTGAACGTTAATTGACCCGAGCTTGCAGAGGAATGATTTGAGGCTTGACCTGCGGAATGCACGCTCTGTTGATCGTATTCGTCAGAATTGTTCTGGCGGGATTGAAGGGCTCGTTCGATCTCATCAAGTCTCGCAGTAGAAGTATTAAGCATTGTCAAGATTCTTTGGATCTCGGTTACGATTCTGGCGTCACGATTATCAAGCTCGGTGACAAGATTTTCATTCAACATGATGTCTTGCTTAGTGGAACGTGAAAAATACAACGTGGCACCGACGAGTAAGTACAATAGACCGGTTAAATCCTGAAGTGGAGCAATTCCTGAAACAGCAAGTGATGACATCTATAACCGGAAAAATGTTCGTTAGCATATATACACGAATGTGTGGGGTGTCATACAAACAAACGAAAAATGAACCTTAACTCGTACAAAACAAATAGATTTGATATTTTTTCCGAAGGTGGGTAGAGAAATGATATGTAGAGAAGAGTAGCCTTGCTGGTTCCACTAACTCAAATGTTTATTCCCTTGATTCGTTAATTTTTATCACGAAGTGGGAGGGCATCGTAAATATTTTTTTTATATAAAAAATCATAGATCAGAATTTATTTATAGACAGGGAGTAAGGGATCAGAAATTACCAGAAGCTTCTATTGCAAGGCAATGGGTAACGCCTTACACTTTACGTAGGTGAAATGTGTTCATTGGATCAATAGCAATTCTTTGTTCTTATTATCATTAATAATGAGAACGTTAACCTGAGGCGAAAGATAATAAAATATAATGGGAAAAGACCCAGAGTCTAATGACGTTTGTTATTCGTAGTACCAACTTCAACAAGTTCAAACAATAAACCGATCTTCTGACTAACCTGATTAATTTCTTTTTAGAATAGCCCGATCCTCATTCTTAGATTCTAAATACATGAATTAACCGGTTTGTGACTGCGAATGAAAGTAATTACAATACCAACTGTTTATTCGATTTAGTATAGATCTCTTATCTTTTAGGGAAAGTGTATTTTCTCATCAAAGAAGGTCTGCTACGATATAAATACCAAAATTAGAAAATTTATATAGATAATAGACTCTTTAAGCCAATAAGTATATAACCCTTACCTTTATCTATACACGTGTTGCTACCCCGGATGGATCATTTTATCATACCATATTTTGTCAGTGCGTTTATACATTAGTAAAACTAACGTAGTCAAATCGGCCAATCATGTTGATGTTGGCAAAAGTCTTTATTGATATAAATAAAAATGATACGGTCACGCCATGTACATGTGAATCGAGAATTCTACCAATTACTTTGTAAATTTTTTAATCCTGGCCCTCTTACTGGCTGGTGAATTATCAACACTAATTCGATCTTTTAACAATCCCACGATGACACCCAATACTCGCTTTACCCCTTTTCTAATAGAATCAAGATCTTCTTTGAGAGCCATTTAGAAAGGTTAATTGGATACTCGCTTTTGCTGGTACAATAAATTCCATCCGTGGTGAACATGATAAAATGCCATTCCGTGGCTAAAAAATAATAATCGAGATTTGTAACCAAAATTCTAATGTTGGAATAATGAGACGCTAGAATTTATCCATACCTGTAGAAACTATTCCGTAGAGGTAGTTTCGAAATGCTTGATCCGCTGTACGCTTCTTCTTATTCGTGTGATATGCGCTCAATATTCTGGAGATATCCGATTTCAACGTTACGAGGCTTACCCTCGGCTATACACATAAGATCCTCTTTCCCTTTGATAGCATAGTCGACACGTCCTGATGCCTTCTCCCCCGAAACATCTTTTTGATATGATATGTAGAGTTCTTCTTCATTGGTAAGTCTCCGAACGATGGCGAGTGACGCATTTAATATCGATGTAATGAATACGCAACGTGTGGCTTCGTTAGCACTAGTTAACATTGTCTCCAAATTCGAAAGTCTCAGTGTTATTTCGTTCATGCACTGCTCGAGCGCCTTATCGTCGTCATCGATTTCCTCGAAAACTATACAATGGAAAATGCCAGAGCAGAGCTCATTATTTCATAATAGAAATTTCCATCACGAAGACGTGACGATCGACAAGAATAATGCCAAGAAAAAAATACCACATACCTGGGTTGAATTGTTTGATGTTCGTAATATCCTCACCATTTACTTTATATTTACGGAGCACGTCTTTTAATTCCCCATTGTCTTATATGATGAAAAACTACTTAATTTTTGTTCTAGACTTTCGATAAATTTTGCAAGTCTTGTTGCAGGACCCCCTTTCAGACCATAACTACGAAAGTCCTCCTTGGTTAATTCAAGAAAGTCGAAACCAGAAATTCTCTCATTGCGAAATATCTTGAAATCCACTTCATTGAGATCCAAATTTTTCTGCCTCTGTAAATAGTCGATAAGTTCCTCCGTCTTGTATTCCTCGATTACATCCGCCATCGTGCGAGTTATCTTTTCTTCCGTTAATGTAGAGGAATCAGATACAGGTGAGGAATCGCGCGAAGACATTGTTTATATTAGTGAATGGCGTAAAGGATCTAGTTTATGCAAAAGCTAGATAATGCAAGGAACAAAATGAAAAATTTTTTCGTAAGTGAATCAGTGACTATTTATAGTATATAGATTACGCAGGTTATAAAATTGGGAGGCATACGACGATCTCGGAGATTGCGGGGATTCCGACTTCCTAAGTCATAAGTCCTTTGACATACGCACTAATGGAGAATGACGGTCTGCCCTTCTTACTACCTTTTTGAGATTCGTTTACGCTGGTTCTTTCAAGGAACATGTTTAATATGGAAGCAATTTCAATATAAATAATGATTATCTATGTTGTACTAACTTCTAAGCTGATCCCTGATTCGCAGATTTAATTCACATAACATCGATCCGTTATAACGTGATGTGATTTACATAATACTTTCCTTGCCCCATGTGTACATGCTATAATCACTGTATATATGACCGCCTACAGTAAGAAAACACGAATTAGATTCAAAAAGACTATAAGAGGAATGGGCTTATCGTTTTTTATTAGTAGTTTTATCAAAATTCATATATAGCAATGACTTGGCATTTCCCAGATCGTCGCGATCATTGACTTTTTTACTTTACAAGCGAGATCGTCGAAATTAAGGGTTTATTCTAACCAAAGAAAATGACGAAATTACTTGGGTTTTGGAATAGATTAATGGTTCTGGACGGTATAAAATACAAGGCTTTTTTCTTCTGTGAGGTGGGTCCAATAACGTTTAAAACTACTAATTCCAAGTAATGTACCATTATTTAATGTATTGCTATTTAATTAATATCATAAAACACATTATGATTACCGTTATTCTGTATTTAGGAACGTGAAAATGAGCAGTAATAAGAAAACCGCCGTCAAGACCAACGATTCTTCTGCTTCCAAGACCAATGATAATAAAGTCTCTGAGAGCAATTATTCTAGCAACCTATCGTTTTCCGCACCAAGAACCAGACAACAAAGCAAGTCGAGACAATATTTATCTTGTAAGTTTTGTATTATAAATACTCTATGAAGCATTCTATTTATTTTCACCGTATTGAAATATAATTGCCGAAGACAGACAGTGGCTAACAGAACTATGTCTTTAATAAAAATTAGATAAAAAGACTTGGGAAAAATGTCAAAAGATAATTTAGAACGTGATAAGAAGAATGACGATAATGATTGGTCAAATCCTAAGGGTCTGATCAATAAAGATTTTTGCATATAAATATATCAATTGTGTTTATTTTTTCTTGGCATTTTTCTGAGACATTATGTCCCGCAAAATTTAATCACGTGAATTTAACCTGCCTTCTCGCAGTTTTTTCTCGAAGCCAGATGATTAAGTTATGTACATCGGAATAATAAAAAGATTATATGTTGATATCTATACATACTTTATTACATGGCATGTGTAACTCATAAATCGAAATTTGAATAGATCTATGCTTTACATAAAAATACGGAAGACGGGGTATGGAAGAGAACACCGAACTCAAGAGCAGAATCAATGAGTTGGAGAAAAATAGGACAGATGCTGTTGCCGAGAACGTTGAACTTAGAGTTAGAGTTGTAAAATTAGAACAGGATATAGATGAACTTAAAAAGAATTAGAATCTAAGAAAAATCGTAAATTTCAGGAAAAATGTATTCTAATAGCTCAGATACTTCTTAACGAGGAACCTGTGGTTGAATATAAAGATGACGCGGCAACTGTTGCAACGTGGTGACAAATAAAGCATCACCTAGTTGCAACTAGTTGCAGCTTATAAAATTTTGGAGTTGCAACGTGTTGCAACGGGTGACAAATAAGCATCACATACTTGCTGTACCATCTCTAGTTGAATATCGGCCATCTTTTATGGAAGGATTAAAACTTGATGCCTTTTTCCGATATAATCGAATTGCATTGGAGGTCCAAGGAGCACAACATCAGTTTCATAGCACTAGTTGGTATAAAGATATTAAAAAACTTGAGGATATTGTTAACTGTGATCGAAAGAAAAGTACCTGTGTCAACTTAATGGGATCTATCTTCTTGAGGTATGGTATGATGAGAATCCAGAAATCATTATTCATAAGAAGATATATAAATTTAGAGAGTTTATTAATAGAAAAATCTTTAATCTTGATTAACTTTTACATGGATGACTTAGTATCATGTGCAATAGAATTGATTATATGTATAGCTTATTCATAAATTGCTATATTTTTTTCTTTGCTCAAACTGAATATGATGATTACTTTACTTGTTCAGAGATATATCCCATATATAATAAAGATCATAAAAAAGAAAATATAAGATATAATGTAAAGAGTGAATGGGATAGTGAAGATTATGTTAATACAAAAACCTATTGTTTCAAAGCTGGAAGGTTTATCAAAATTCAATTCAAATAATAACAGTGAAAGCATAGACTATTGATTTCAAATTGAATTTGATAATACTTCAATATAAGTCTGCAGATTCAAACTTGACCATATTTATGAAGCATGTGAATTGTATTTTTCAGATTTCAGGTTGCCCTTTTAATTTCTTTACTGAAATTATCATCAAATCTTCTGGATAATGGAGGTGCAGGAGGTACATTGTGAAATATTCCATGATGTCTCTTTTCACACTTATTATCTTCAATATCTGAAAGAATTTTTTTAATTATGTTCGTGATCTCATCTATTAATAAATCAAATCTAGATGAATTATTTTTAGTGAGATTGGCATTATTATTTTTTTCTTTGATTAATGGAATACTCATATTATCTATTACAATCCTAGCATGATGAGTATAAGTTTTGGAGGAATATTCAAAGCTTATTTTTG